TACATGTGTGACCAGAACGTCCGAAATGTATTGCTCAAATACGGTACACGTTTCAGATAAGTTACTTTTCCTTATTTTATTATGTCATAGTTGACATGATCTTTTCCTGGTTGATGATGATGGTGATCAGTGCAGTAGAAGAGGCGCACTTTTCATCCCATTTGGCAAATTTCAGCTTTCGTCCTCAGTGAGTAATGGTGTTCAAAGTAATAATTCCATAGAATAACAACTAATACCCGTTGTACCAGAAGTAGTGGCTTTCGTAACCCTTGTGTCCTAGTGGATGATGCCTTCGAGTTTGAAATGATGGGTGTGCAGGGTTCGAATCCACGACGGGAACACCACCAGTCATCGTGAATACGAGTAATTTCTCATTCCACCACTAGGCACCAATGTGTATTATAGAATCTTCAATTGACTTTTGCTTACTTTGTGTTGTGCCCCAGTATACATTAGCAGCATTTAGAAATTCTTTTATTTTGATCATTTAACCTAATAACTGTCAAAATTACTACAGAAATAGGCAATAGGGTGAAAAGCACTAGAGAGAATTTTAAAAAAATAGAACAGGAAGCTAAGAAACCGCTGAACTACAGTAAGGCATTATCAGTTACTACAGGATGATATAATGATGGCTAAATTCACCTGAATTTCCAGCTTAATTCACTGACAAACAAGGTCATAGGAATAAGGTAATTTATTATCTGACATATGTAATGTATGTGTAATGTACTAGCTCAACACATACAACACGAATATTTCACAATTACACACGAGAGTGTACTTGTCATAAATAAAATATTCACATAAAAGTACAACCAATTATAAGAGTACAAAGGGTCAAAATTGTAGATAACAGAAATTTATAAAATTAAAAACACTAATTAGTGCACAAAAAGAAAGAAATATTCATTTCGAGAAGTCCTTGTTCAAGTTCTACAATTATAATATAATAATCACTTTATTCCAAACAATAATAAAAATAATATTTAATTCAATTTTACATTTTCCCGTCGATTGATTGGACTGAGGTGCTCGGTCTCAGGTTGACATGTCGGCTTCTTGTGCAGATGTTTCGACGATGTCTGGGCATGTAATTCGAAGTTAATTGGTGGATGGTGACTAGCAGTGGAATCCAGGATGCGCATTCTGCAGTGAGTGATGGTGTTCCCACCGAGGCTCCAACCCACTGCCCACAGTTTCAAACGCCAAAGGGTTATCCAGTAGACCATTTAGGCCACGAGAGCCACCTCTTGTGCGATGGGTCATATCAATGCAGGTACATCAGGCCGACGAGTCCCAAATAGGACGAAACGCGCATCCTGGATTCCACTGCTAGTCACCATCCACAAATTAAATTCTAATTAAATGCCCAGACATCGTCGAAGCATCTGGACAAGAAGCCAACATGTCAACTTGAGACCGAGCACTTCGGTCCAATCAATCGACGGGAAAATCTAAAATTCAATTCAATAATTAATATGCCCCATTGCACGAGATGTGGCTCTCGTGGCCCAAGTGGTCTAGGGGATAACTCTGTGGCGTTTGAAACTATGGGCACTGGGTTCGAGCCTCGGTGGGAAATAATAATAAAAACTCTGCGGAATGGAATTTTCAACTCTTTTTTTTTTATACATAGTGCAACAATTTAGCTCCTTTTATAAATATGTACATGCCTAAAATTTAAAGTAGTAATAATAATATTAATAATGAAACCACCAAAGACAGAATGCTAGTGGAAACATAATGAAGTATAAATAGATAGTATCATAGATAATACACGTAATAATAATAATAATAATAATCTTTGCTCATACTTTCCAGTTCAGTTACTGATTTAAAAAGTTTAAAAGACTGAGCTCTGCTCAGTCTTGTCAATTTTCTGCCCGATCACTGCTTTCTGTATTACGTAGTTGTTATCAAAATTTTACAGTTTGTGAAAGTATTTATTTTGTTGTTGCTGTGATAATGTACTTTATGCAGGGGATTGTACAACCTGAGAATGATATCTCTGAACAAAGAATATTGTTTATTCATTAGCCAGTATTTTAATAATAATAATAATAATAATTTAAAATTGGATTACAAAGGAAGGTCTAGTGTAATAACAAATGATTTCTTAATATACATAGAATAGTTTAAAGACATATTATAACTAGGAATTCAACAAACTTAAGCCAGTGTGTGATCCAAACATGTTTTCTACAAAAGTTAGGAAGTAGTATTGAAATTAACTTTACGATCGATCATCTATTGTGTGCTTTGTGACAGATAATGTTGGACATATATTTTAAGTATCAACAGTAGTGAGATGATTGATTTGTCATTGTTGTGGTCAATTTGGAATTTTCTCTATATAGCCTTAACCAACAGATATTGATGGCTGGCGTCTATGCATGTGTGTGTGAGTGTTTGTCGTCAGATGTACACGTAAACTGGTAAACGCCTTGTGATATTACACACTTTCTATTTTTTTAAAACTCTTTTGTTTAGAGATCAAACTTTGAATCCATCTCACATCTGATCTGTATAGTTACGTATACAGCCTTCTTTGAGGCCGACGGAATTATCAGAGGATCTGGTTTGGCATATTTAGGGTGTTTACTAAACTTCGTAATTTATTTATTATCTTTGCATTTTTCTCAGTCGTATCTTTTGTACAAATGTTCAAGTAATGCCTTTGATTAATGAAGTGGACAACAGCTCTGGCAATTTAAGTATTGTCTTGTCCATGGGGATTTTCTATAGACAAGCTGTCTTATACACCGATCATGTCTGCGGGTTATGCTTACATCTAAGATTGCTAAACGGGAGTTATTTTTGATATAAGAATAAAACTTGTGCACTGTGGTAGAGTGTAATTCCATTATGGGTAAATTTTGTTTTGATAAAGTCTCACAGTGTTATACAGTAATGTTTACAGATGACGTTTCGAACACAATTTATTGCTCATAATCATATCAAGGTAATCACACGATTTCCTAATTTCATTTATATAGGATAGTTAAAACGAATAGAAGAAGGCAAGCTACACACTAGTGTTTATAGAAAACCAACGCATTCTAATAGATATTTAGACTTTAATTCATCTCATCCTTTAACTGTTAAGGCAGGCTTAGTTAAGTGTTTAACAAACCGAGCAGTGGCACTAAGTAGCACAAAAAAAGACCTAAATGATGAAATAAAACAGATAGAAGAGCCACTGGTGTTGAATAACTATCCTATAAAATTCATTAAGAAGATTGAAAAACGCCAAAAGAAAAAGAATTGTGAAACTAGTAATAATAATATAAACAAGAGGGAATATAAGTCATCTACAGTTATACCATATAAAGAGGGGACATCTGAGACCCTACGTAGGATTCTAAATAAAGCAGGAATTAGGGTGGCATTTAAACCTACAAACTCACTCAGGGACAAGCTCTGTAGGTTAAAGGACCCAGTTGACCCAATTAGACAAAATAATATTATTTACAAAATATCTTGCAATGACTGTGAGGTCATCTACATAGGTCAAACTAGTAGGTCGAAGGTAGTCAGATTGTAGGAACATAAGAATTTAGCTAAGGTTAGAATGGTTGACCCTGAGAAGATAAGTAATTTAGAAAAAAGCTCGGCAATTGCAATGCATGCATTAACACACAACCACACAATAGGGTGGGTGGTAGAGGGTTAAAATTCTAAAAAGCAATCTAGGTAGGTGGAAAGAGAGATTGATTACTGAATCTTTGTTCATTGAATCTACACCCAACACATGCAATAGGAATGAATCATCACTAATACCCGAAATATGGAAAATAATACTACCAATCAAATCAAGTGAAAAACAATGGAACTATATAAATGAATTTAGGAAGTCGTGTGATTACCTTGATATGATTATGAGCAATAAATTGTGCTCGAAACGTCATCAGTAAACATAATTGTATAACACTGGGAGTTATTTTTCTCCATGTATGCTGAGAATATACTGTTTTAAACTGATTTCATTCAAAGCAGGTTTGATACGTCGACTTATTATCAAGTTTACTGTTCAACGAAGAGTTCCTCTTTTCAGCGATATCATTCTTAAGCTGTACAATCGTATATGTATAGTAAATTCTCATAGCAAAGAAAGGAATGTTTCCAAAGATGTATCGTTAAAGTTGTAACTTTTAAATAATAATTGCGTAATACGGAGAGCACTAATCGGTTAGTAAATAAAATAAAACAAAATAAATAAATAAATTGAGTGACATGACATAATTGATAGGACTGAGTAAAACTCAACTTAAATTGAAAAAGATTCGGGATAAGATCAGTGTCACAAGGAGTAGAAATGTAAAAAGCGGGGTAGGGAATGGAGTGAGAAAAATTCTGCAGAAGTTGGAATTTATGAACCGCTGGGTCGGGTCCCAGTGACTTAATGGTCTACGAGCTCTGTCGCCTTGCAACCAGAGGGTCGTGGGTTCGAAGCCTGGTGGTTAGTGCGTGCTGATGAAGAGTCCCAAACTAGGACGAAACGCCCATCCAGTACTCTCAGTTGGCTTTTCCAATTGTTCTCTAACTGATGTCAGCTGCTGATGAAATTCTTCAACCAATCAAACAAAATCCATACAAAACAAATACTTGATAACTGAGTTTTACTAGCGGTCCAGACCAGGAACTTGGAAGCCAACCAACAAGGATTTAAAAACATTAGCAGTTACAGAGCAGTTCATTTTACTAGACGACCAAGTGAATTTTAATTGTGTACCTTTGGTCCAATGCTTCTTGATTTCCAATTATTATTTCCTAGATGATTTTATTTTATGATGGTATAAACTTGAAATACGATCATAGGTAATACGTTTTACTAATAATATCATTATTATCTGCGAAATTAGTTGTGGTATTATTTCTGCTTCATAGTGCATAATCCATAACACGTATGACTCTAAGTCTACTTTCATTTTTGTTTTTAAGTTTTGCAGTGAGGAGAATTATCATTTATTTATTTTCTTTTCTTTCCAAACATTTAGGTGCTAATTTGCTCATAGCTGTTGGCTTCTTTATTATGTTAATGGGATTCTTAGGCTGTTGTGGAGCTATTCGTGAAAGTCAGTGTATGTTATTCTTGGTAAGCAAGTCTTTTTATAATGACAATTATTATAATTATTATCATCATTATTATTCATCTCTTGGATTCCAAATGGGACATAGGGATTCATTTCCACATCGCCGTTTCACGCTGTTATCGGCAATCCTTTATAGCCAGGATTAAGATTGCCTATAAGCTTTGATTTTTCACTACTCTCAAGTCTGTGTGGAGGTCAACAGCACTCAGCATCAAAAATAAGATCCGGATTTTCAACTCCAATGTGAAGTCAGTCAGTGCTACTATACGGATCAGAGACTTACACTGCGCGTCATAAAGAGCTTCTCAAACAAACTACAGACCTTCATGAACAGCTGCCTTCGCTCAATACTCAAGATCAGATGGCCAGAAAAGATCAGCAATAGGGACCTCTGGGAGCGAACCGACCAGGAACCGATTGTGAAACAAATATCCAGGAAGATATGGAGATGGATTAACCATACTCTGAGGAAACCATCAAGTGACATCACTAGGCAAGCCATTGCTCGAGTGGAATCCGAAAGGGAAGTGGCGAGTTGGTCGTCCAAGGGTGACCTGGAGGAGGTCATGTGAAGAGGAGATGAAAACGTGTGGGCAGACTTGGAGCCAGGTGAAAACTCTAGTAGAGAACCGAATGCAATGGAGACGCGCGGCTGAAGTCCTATGTTCCTCTAGGAATTAAAGGAGACAATAATAATGAGCTTTGATTTACTCCTTACACAAACTCTACCACGTCACTGTCGGATTGCTAATCCGTGGTTTCTTATTCAATGTCCACGCCAGTGTCTGTCACGTGATGTCACTAAACGATCTACTCAGCATATGTCCAGTTCATCTCCATTTTTTTCTGCATGTTTGTTAGGTGATGGGTTCTTGGCTGGTTCGTTAACAGAGCTCCTTGTTACTTAGCCCTTTTGACCATCTGATCTTTAGTAGTAAGCGAAGGCATCTGCTGATGAAAGTCCACAGTAAACTTTTAGAAAAATGACTTAAGTGATTCTCACGCCAAGTCTATGGACCATATAGAAACAATGACTGACTTGACATTAGTGTTGAAAATTCGAATGTTATTCGTTGTTCTAAGTGCTGCTGATCTCCACATTGATTTCAGAGTAATAAACGCCTGTCTTGCCTACGTGATCCTCACCAGCTTTGACTTCTCCATTCACATCACCACTTGTAGTTGAAATGATGCTGCTAAGGTGCGGTAAGCAAAAGAGATGACTTCAATATGATGGAGAAGATTTGTAGCTCAGGTGGATGATTTTGATGTGGTTGTTAATTTGCGAAGCTTTCATCACCATACTAGGCGATATCTTCAGCGCATACTTCAATTTGTTGAAGTGAGCTTTTAGATTTCTCCATGAGTTTATTAATCATATCTCCTGGTGACCACCTTGAACGTGATTGGTCGTTTTTGTGTGCTTTCACACCCTCTAGGCTACTTGTATTGGAAATGATTTTTTCTTTAACTTGAACTTTAACCCTCTGTGTGTGAGGTTTCCTTCTTATCGGTTGATAAATTTTGTCTGTCTAGATGTGTCTATTGATTGATGATTCACTGGAATACCAGGCAGCCTTCTAAAGATTCTCCAGCATTTTCTGGTGCTTCCTTTGTCTAATATTTGAATGTTGGTTGTCCCAATTGAATTGGTGTCCGTGATTGTCTGTATGCAGCGATATGAGGCAGGGAGTGGATGTCATGTCTTTTGACGACTAACTTATGTTCGTGGATACGAAGATGAAGTGGACGTCCACTTTGGCCAATGTAGTGTTTTTCCCACTCCTTGTAACTTATTTTGTAGATGATGTTGGTTTAATCTTCTTTCGTTGTTGAGTCCTTTGGTTGACATAGAACTGAGTGAAGTGATTTTGTTGGTTTGTGTGCGACATCAATTCCTAAAGGTTTGGAGAGTCTTTCAGTGATTTTTGAGATGTCCTTTATATATGGTAGGGCAATTTTCTTTGTTCTTTCCTTGGTTGGAACCTTTGATTTGGTAGGTTGGCTTGAAGGTATATGTCTTTTGATGAAGTTCTGTGGATATCCATTCTTTTGGAAGATGTTCATTAGATATCTTTCTTCAATTTTCCTTAAGTTGGGAGTGCTGCAATGAATCCTGGCCCTCTTGAATAGTGTTTGTATACAATTCCTTTTGCATGTTATTGAATTGTTGCTGCTGTAATTCAATTCAGTCCAATAACACAGAAAAGGAATTGTATACAAACACTATTCAAGAGGGCTAGGATTCATTGCAGCACTCCCACCTCAAGGAAAATTGAAGAAAGATATCTCATGAACATCTTCCAAAAGAAAACACACAAAAACAACCAATCACGTCCAAGGTCAGTTGACCAGGAGAGATGATTAATAAACTCGTGGAGAAATCTAAAAGCTCACTTCAAATTGAAGTTTGCGCTGAAGATATCGCTTAGTATCGCGATGAAAGCTTTGCAAATTAAATATCCAGCTGGGAGAATACAACCACATCAAAGAGATGACTTCCTTTAGATTATTTACGTTGACAGTGATTGGTGCTTGTTGGTTGGTCATCAACATTACCTTTGTGTTCTCTGTGTTTACCTGAAGTCCCTTTTCGGCTAACTCTTCTGCCAACCTGCTGTCTTTCGCCTGTGGATCTTCGAGTTTGTGTGACATTAGACATAAATCATCCTCGAAGTCCTGATCTCCTAGTGTCTTTTCATCTGTCCAACGTATACTCGTCTTTCAATGATGATTAGTAATCCATGTTAATATTCAATGAATAGAATGATTTCATTAACATTTTCTCAACTTGGTTATTTCAACTTGCACCGCTAGTAATAAAGATAGGTATTGGTAGAATGATCTTCCAAATTCCTCTCTGCATATGCTTCACTAATAAGCTTATTCTTGAGTAACATTTATTATCTTGGGTAGTTTACTTAACCTCTTTTTTCCTCTACCAATCAAAGTGTATTAGTTTTCGACATTCTGAAGAGCGAATAACCCAGAGAACTTCATTGTGGTTAGATTTCAGTCTATCACATTTACACCCACAGTGTAACACAGTCAAAAGTTTTTTATTAGAATTCATTTAACCAGAACAGATTTCACATGCATGAGGTTGTGAACAACACATATTGTTCTATGGCTGATGGGGTGGGTGATACTTAGTTGCTCAGGTTGAATTAAATGGGGATCCATTGGCTGAAAAGTAGAGTCTTAAAGCCAATCAGACACATCTCTCCACAGAATTCATTAAACATTGACAAACTGTCTAGTTACCTCAACTGTATTACGTATTTAAGCGGTGGTGATGTGGCTCACTATTGTCACACAATGAATAAAGTAAAGAATTCTATGAATAGGTGAGCTAACTAAAGCTTGTTTAGTTGTGCTCTGTGGTGCATTGGTGGTGACTGCCTATTCTATATTAATTGTGATCACATCCTCACTTCAGTTAGAGAACCACTGATAACCAGGGAGTAATGCATGTCTGTTTCGTCTTTGTTTGGGGGCTTTTCAGCAGCACACACTCATTACCCTGTCAGGGATCGAACTCACGACTTTCAGACTGATCATTCAGCCATTGGGATGCAACCCAGTGGCCTATGAAATCCAACTTCTGAGGATTCGTAATACATAGCGTGACTGTACTATTGAAAGTTCCCAGAAGTAGGACGAAACAACTGTCAAGTACTCCCTGAATTCAGTTCATAATCAAACTTGAAATCAATGAAATCCAAGCAAACCATCGCTTGAAAATTATTCCATATTAAAAGAATGGATACTGAACAAAGAATACTCTTTTCGATAACCCCTTCATCACCAGGCTCTACAGTTATATATACACATTATAGTGAATGAATGAATTAGTGTTATGAACAACATTAATGTTGTTTAAATAACATCGAATCAATAATATTGATAGATTACAGCTCAACAGCATCAACATAACAATACACACTGAATGTCAGAAAAATTAGGAAAGATAATATTACAAATTCATGAATTTATAGTCTCTACTGAAGGCCATCCAGGGCAGAAGTAGTGACTGGACTTGCTTCCTTTAAACACAGAGAACTGGTTGTTTGAGGCGAATTGCAATAGCCTCTGCTTTTTTGGAGCACGCGGTGCTTCGATGATTTTGGCCCCCAGTAGATGATAGACAAGCATTCTTCAATGCTGGCTAGCTTTGTGGCCGGTTTGAACCAGATGGTCTAATATCGAACTGTTAATGGTTTTCACTACACCTTTACTTAGCCATACTGGGAGATGTACCCGAGCGAGCACGAACAATCAAGTTCCTAGAGCAATGGCCGATATAACTCGCTCCAGCACAAATGCAGTTGAATTGGTAGATACAATTTGAACTAGATAGGCTAGGTACTTCATCTTTCAGTCGAGGTATCACCATCGGTCGTGTAGAGAATAAGACGTGTAGTTCGCCAGCATTAAAAGTTCTTTGAACTTATTTTCTTAATTTCTTCGTAATTATCTCACTTGGTATATCACCCTTGAATTGTAGTCGTATATAAAGTGGCTTCTTGTTTACAGATAGTGAGTGGTCCTTTTCCGCTTTCTTTGTCATTGTTTCTTGATAAATTTTTCGGGATAGCTATTTTCGTTCAAAGTATCATATACAATGCTTAATTCATCTTCAATTACTTCTTCTGAGCATATAGCTCTAACTCTGTGGCTGAGGGTCTTCACTAAATTTCTTTTGTACTTGATAGGAACGAAGCTGTGTGAGAATGTGTATATTTGTCCTGTCCATGTACTTTTTCTATGCAAATTTCTTTTTTTATGCTACCATCTGGTTTTCTTGTAAGGAGGACGGACATCCAGGATGGCAATTAATTCTGTTTTGGGATTCCTCTTCGCACGTGAATTTTTTTATATTAGTTATCAGATAAGAAATCTGAAGCACTGTAAACAATTTTTCAAACTTCAATGTTTCACCATTCTACTTAAAAATATTAGCTAACAATTTCACTATCAGAAATTTTCATCATCGTTGTTGTATTCTCATAGCTTAAATTCTCTGAATCTAGACGTATAGAAAGGTAGTTTGTACTACGATTATAAACCTTTCAGATACACTTAGCGCTAATTACATTCAGTCAGTCAGTAACCGGTTTTATTATCTCTTTTTTTTAAATGATCTACTCTTCTATAATAAGTATGTTGTATTCAATCACTGCCTTTATGAAACTGTTTATTTTTATTATCAATATAATACTTCTGATGAAGTATGCTAACTAAAAAAAAACACTTAAAGTTGTTAATTAAAGTGCATTCACATAAACAATCTCAATCATGTAAACATAAAACAAGAGAGTAATTTAATTTCAGACGGTTGAGATGATTCGATTCAGGTGGATACAACTACATACTACTACTACTACTGAATGAGTGTAACTGTGAGTATTGTTTAAATCACAAGCATTATCGACTGTTTTGATTACCTTCCAACTTAATCATGTCAGTTTTAGTAGCATACTTAGTATCCTCTTCTTGCTCTCTCTATCTCTCTCAATCAAAACATGAATTTAGGCTATCGAGCACTTCGAATTGTGTTTAATTTGAAAATGACGAGTTTTATTCTCTCCGTTGGTTCAATCTTCCATATTCTTGGCCTGGGTTCGATCCCCTGCTGGTGCACTGCTAAACTTCTCCTAGCCACTAGTAAGCCAGGAGAGGAGAGAAGGTTGGTAGCGAGGCTAGCAATTTCACGCAGTGAAAATAAAAGGCCCACCTTTAAAGCCTAAAGCCTGAAGCCTTGCGTTCCACTCAGAATGTAATGGAAGTGAAGGGAAAAATAATTCACTTAATTGGTTGGAGGATTTCATCACAAGGTGATATCAGTTAAAGAACCATTGGAAAACCAACTGGGGCAGGTGTTTCATCAGCCTAGTTTAGGACTCTTCAACAGTACACACCCACAGGGTTTAGTAACCAGGACCTTCTGGTTACAAGGCGAACTCGTAGAGCATGAAATCTTTCAACCAGTCAAACAAAATCCCTACAAAACTAATACTTGAAAATTCATCTGGTGCTCACTAGCTACTGGCCCTATTCAAGCAGTGACCTGGGGTCCTAGGGGGAAGCCGTGACCAGTAGGGTATAGCGGGTTGAAGGTGGGGTAGTAACTCATCGAAGAAGACATTGTGAAGTTGTTGCGCTATGTCATGAATTGGCAGGAGTTAGAATTCATGGGCTGGCCTTAGGATAGGGCACGTTCCAGTGGCTTAATGGTTTACGAGCTCGGTCGCCTTGTAACCAGAAGGTCGCGGGATCGAACTCTGGTGTTGGGTACGTACTGCCGAATAGTCCCAAACTAGGCTGACAAAAAAGCTGTCTAGTACTACCTGGTTGGTTTTCCAATGGTTCTTTAACTGATGTAAGCTTATGATGAAATCCTCCAACCAATCAAACAAACAAAATCTCTACAAAACCAATACTTGATAATTCACTCAAGTAGCTAGCAGCAATTCAGGTGGTGTGAACTTGTTTGTCTCTTTGAGGTGAGTCAAACAAATCCAGTACTTTGCAGATGAGCCTGACCCCAAAGGAAATGAAATAACTGTTCGGTGTTTAGATCACATCGATCTAGCTACCAAGAACCAGTGTCCGAAGTGACTGATCTGCAACTACTCATATCAATCAGTCAGTAGTATGTACCATCATGCTAATTTGCTTTGCTTTCTTCGTTACCATTATTAGTTTCAAGCAGATCAAATAAAATGTGATACAAAAACTGACAACTGATGAAATTGTCAATCACCAGTTGAAATATAAATATGCAACAAATAATACAAACACTAACAAAGGTTTTATATTTATGTGTACATCAGTGTTATTGAAAGATAGATGTTTGTCCTTGTCCCTAGTTCATCAAATTTTGTCTTGTTCAATGTCGTTTTTACAATGTATAACTTGTTAACCATTGTATTTTCTTTCTCTAACACTCTGTTTTTTTCACAGTTCTTCGCATTCGTATTCTTCTGTTTTACTTTGCTTATGGCGGCTGGTTTATGGGCTGTTGCTTGGTCGTCTAAGGTGAGTTAACAGTTTGACTGATTGATTGATTCATTATAAATTGCGCGGTCAAATTATTCATTGTCCAATTCAGACTTAAGATGACAACATTCAACAGACATTAATGTGGTCTTTATAACCATGGAGATAAAATAAATCTGAATAAGTAAAATGGGGCAAGAGTAAAGAATAGATATCACAGTCAAATGACCTTGAACCAACCAATCCAATCGCTCAACATTACAAATTAATGCTTTTCATAATCTTCGTTGCAAGTTTCACCCTGACTCAGGGTTAGGGTTAGGGTAGGATTAAGGTAGAGTTATGGTTAAGGTTAGGGTGAAACCTGCAACGATGATTATGGGCAACATCCATTTGAAATGCTGAGAAATGTGACTATCATCGTTAAGTTATTATTCATCATAGAGTCAGTCATTCATCAGAATCGGTGGATCCTGTAACTGGTACTCATAGAGATCATGGTTTGCTTATTATAGCCACTTCTATGGAAAACTGAGACCTATTTTGCAGTACGTTATAGACATATACCACATGTAATTCATTTTTGTCATTCATATATCTGCCACTATGAATGTCACTTTTTCCATACCAGTATATGATTGGCTTACTCAAGGTCACCTGACGGTGGTATCTATTCTTTACTGTTGCCTAACATGACCTGAGCTTGTCTTGTAACCAGAAGGTCAGGAGTTCGATCTCTGGAGGTGGGGTGCGCTGTTGGCGAGTCCTAAAATGGGACAAGATGAATGTCCAGTACTCCTTACTGGTTTTCAGTAGTTCCCTAACTGATATCAATTCGTGATCAAACTTGGAATCACTGTATATTTGTTAACAGTCTAACAACCACAGTTTATCTATACATGATATGGTAGAACTTTCGAGAAGAGAGGTAAATTGAAGTAAACTATTAGGTAAAGAAACAATTAGGCAAACTGGAAGATCAGTAGTGAGTTTAGCTGAGTGAATTATAATAAAAATGTTTGTGACTCACCAAAAACACAAAAACAGAGTAAAGATGTCGAGTTATCAGAGTAGTTCAAGATTAATCATACCATCTTTCTGTATACAGAGATTAGACTGAAATCCTTTGATAGTAATGGCTTCTACCATAAGAAGTAACCACGATTTTCTTCGCATATTGATTACTTTGAGGGTTAATTGATTTCCACTGAATGCCCCGTGTCAATCAGGAGCTTGGTGATTGTACTTGCAAACACTTTCTTACTTTTCATATAAAGATTGTTGGGGAAATACTCAGAAAATAAACTAGATGCTCTCCTCCCGATCCTTCCTTTGTACTTGCTACCGCAAGTGCATGCGAACTTGTAAATACAGTTAGGGATGACATGAGCAGGATAATTATGTACTTCGGACTGTATTATTGAGTATTTAGGGATCGATGTAGCGTCGTGAAACATCCTTCACAATTCACTTTTAACTTCTTTTTTTTATTCTTGTTGATTCCTCACACAATAAACTAATGCATTCAGCATGGGCAGTTAAAAATGAGGATACAATGTCTTAAACACTTTCATTTTAAATCTGAGACAAGCCCTGAGCTTTACAAATCTCCATGTAACCACTACAGCAAAGGGCAGTAAGCAAAACCACTCTAAAATATTATCTTGAAAACCACATCTGATTGTCACAACCGAATAAACTGTTGGTACGCCCATAAATGAGAGTGACCTTGAAAATCATTCTAACAACGACATAACACATGGACAACAGATATCTCTACATTGGTGGAGGGGGAGGTTATCATATACACTAAAAATATAACCAATCCTATGTCATTGTCATATCTGGATCCTGGTCTTTGAGCTTATGAAAGCTGACTTTGGTATAGCTGTAAGGATAGTGTTTGTAAAGTGACAAGGCCATTGATATAGTCACTTGAGTCTCTGGTAAGTGCACAATCACTTACCTAGAGCATCTTATATACCACAAAAATATAAGTGAAGCTGTGTGTGATTGTAACTCTTCAACTGACAGTTCAAGACATGTCATGTTATTCAAAAGACACAGTTGAGCGAATTATTATTTAGATACATTTATTCTAATGTTAAGAACACAATATTCAGCGAAGAGACTCTTTTCAACAACGAACTTATTATCAAGCTGTACAATCGTATTTGTAAATGGTTTGTAAGAAATTATATAACCATAGTTAAGTGTCCAATGGCAAAACAATCAGTGTCATGTATAGAATAATTCATAAAATGTATAGATGTTGGAAAGGGATGTATAATTATGACAGGGTTAGTAAGCTAATATAAAACGTTACAACATAGCATGGTGTGAAATTTGTTAAGATAGGATTCAACATTGTAAAAGGAATTTTTTGGATTTAGAATGACAAGTGGGACAAGTAGAAACGATTCAAAGTGAGAATAGTAGAAGTAATAATAATCGTAGTAATGAAGGAAAGGTTAGATGATGAATGTCTATCCCTCTACGGCCAAAGAAGAAATAGGGATAGTACATACTTCTTTTGTACACAAAGGTCTGCCTTAAATTCTTGAATTGCCAAGTCCTCCACTGTCTTCGGAAGTTTATAACGAAGAAAACGCGGCAAGTTAGCGTTGATTCGATAGACGGTCTTAAAACCACAGTTAGGGTTGGCGGAGTGACAGGAGTCAACCAACTGTTCTAGAAAAGAACTTCGCACACTCTTCCTTTCTCCCTTGTAAAACCATACTGGAATATGTTCTCGTATCCGTGTGGGAAGCAAGGTTCTCTTGCCAGGTCCAATGTAACTTGCTCCGAAAGAGGAGCAGGTGAACTGATAGGTGCATTTGGAGGCGGCGAGACGGGGTAGCTTACCTTTAACAGAGATGGAGAACAACATACGGCTGGTGAACGTCATTTGAAATTTTCCAGCAAAGAACGTTTTACTGACTGATTTAGAGAAAGGGTTTTTGAGCATATCTGAAGCTTGAACACCTTTGAATTCAAAGTTCATGAGTATGGTTTTCTTTGAAACTGAGTCGGTGACCAGTTTAGTCCGCTTATCTTTCGTGTTTCTGTCAATAAATCGGTTCGAACCTTTAGGAAGGTAAATTTCGAGTCAACGGATGAATTAAGTTCATTTTCCTGGAGATAGGCACCCAACCCTAAAAATTAGTCAGTCGTCCATTCCATGTACGTTTCCGGTGGATGGATCTTTTGAAAGATTCGTCATTACGTCTACTAAGGCACACATCAAGAAAGGGAACGCTTAGTTCAAATTCCTTTTCAAAGATGAATTGAAAAGTGGGATGGCAGTTGTTGAATGCAAACAAGACATCATCAAGAATTACGTTATTATCGCAGATAACTAAAGTGTCGTCCACGTATCTTCTATAAATGTCAAAGTGACCGATGGTTTGACTAAGTTAAGAGTTTTCAAGCCAGCAATGGACACAGTGTTGATCCCATCACACTGCCATCTATCTGTCTGAAAATTTCAGCATTGAAAGTGAACTGAACACTCAACGTGTATCTCAATAAGAGTTCTTTGAGGTAAGTTGTCGGCAATCCTATGTCTAAACTATGGGCATCAATATAAACACATATATAGCATACCGTTTCCATGAGAGGTACACTGGTAAATAGTGAAGTCACATTACAATGTTGTATTTGAATAGCCTACCAATATGCCGTTTACTTTCAGTCTTCTTATAGGCGTATAATTTCTGATCATAGACCCAGCTGTAAATGAAGTGACGAACACAAACAAAATGGCGTTGTGCAAGTTTTTTTCAGAAAAGAGTGGAAAATTATGCTTTTAGTTGTCCTAGCGTCTTCTATTCAAACAAAAACAACTATGAGTGAACTAAAATTTGGACATATAGATTTTAATTTACTTGAATAACTTAGCATCATGGCTTACAGTTTCAGACAAATCATGCGATATTGCGATAACGACAGGTGCAGTTTTAAACCACATAAATATGACTCCACACTATCCGCATGTCACATCTCACACGTTTAACTTTTTTGATAAGTAATTAAGTAATCTGTAATCAATAATGAGTCAGGTGTCTGATATCTGTGACAAAAGATAAGTCTGCTTTACACACCTGTCACATCATCAAGAGGAAACTGATTCACAAGAAGTTAAATACAAGCTCAAAAAATGTAATAATCTATAGAAATTATTATTATTATAACTGTCTCCTTTAATTCCTAGAGGAACATAGGGCTTCAGCCGTGTGTCTCCATTGCCTTCGGCTATCTGCTAGGGTTTTCACCTGACTTTCATCTCCTCTTCACATGACCTCCTCCAAGTCATCCTCGCACTGACGACCAACTCTCCGCTTCCCTTTCGGGTTCCACTCGAGGGCTTGTTTTGTGATGTCACTTGATGGTTTGTTTTTTCAGAGTGTGGCCAATCCATCTCCATTTCTCCCTGCCTATTTGTTTCACAATCGGTTCCTGCTGTGTTGGTTCGCTCCCAGAGATCTTTGTTGCTGATCCTTTCCGGCCATCTGATCTTGAGTATTGAGTGAAGACAACTGGTAATGAAGGTCTGTAGTTTGTTTGAGATGCTATTTATGACGCGCAGTGCAAGTCTCTGATCCGTATAGTAGCACTGACTTCACATTGGAGTTGAAAATCTGGATCTTACTTTTCATGCTGAGTGCTGTTGATCTCCATACAGACTTGAGAGTGATGAAAGCTTATCTTGCTTTTCCAATTCTTGCTTTGATATCCTCGTCATTTCCGTTCGCCTGTAGTTGAAACGATGCTTCCCAGGCGGGTAGGTGAAAGAGGTTGTTTCTTTCAGGTTCCTTCCATTTATGCTGATTGTTGTCAGTTGTTGTTGTTGGTGTTGGTGGTATTGCCCATGAATCTTCATTACCTCTGTCTTCTCTATGTTCATCTGAAGACCTATCTTCTGTGGGTGCTTCTTCTGCCAACTTGTTGCTTTTCACTTGCATATCTTCTAGTTTGTGGGAAATCAGACATATATCATCGGCGAAGTCCAAATCCTCCAAGTTTTTTGTGTGAGTCCATTTTATGCCTGTTTCCTCATTGCCCGCTGCAGGGAACAAATCTTATGGCATTAGATGAAGAATAAAAATATACCCTAAAACAGAAATGACAATAAGAGATGTCTTCAAGTTATTCAAAAAACATTGGAATTAGCATGTCCATATTGTAGTTCAATCATTATTCGGTATTTAAGTAGTGATTATTGCTAGATTTACTCAGTTACACTCAAGATAATGACTGTCACCCTTGCACTGACGTCCCACTCGCCGCTTCCCTTTCGGGTTCCACTCGAGCTATGGCCTGACATGTGATGTCACGCAGCGGCCTCCTCAGCGAGTGTCCAATCCATCTCCACTTTCTCCTGCATATTTGTTGAGCGATTGGTTCTTGTTTTGTTTTGTTTGTTCCCATAGCTTCTTGTTTGTGATTCTTTCCGGCCATCTGATCTTCAGCATAGAACCAGCGAAGACAGTTGTTGATAAAGGTCTGCGTGCAGCCTGTTGGAAATATTCTTTGTGACCCACCGCTAAGGTTCTGATCCGTATAGAAGAACTGACCGACTTGACGTTTGTATTGAAAATCCGAATTTTGTTGTTGATGCTGAGTGACGATGATTTCCAGATTGGTTTCAGGTTGATGAATGTGTTTCTCGCCTCTCCGATTGTCTATTTGACATGTTCGTCTGTTCCTCCTGTAGTTGAGACAATGCTCCCTAGATAAGTGAAAGAAGTAACCTCATCCAAATCCCTCCCGTTGATGATGATTGGCGCTGGATGTTGCTGTTGTTGTTGTTGTTGTTGGTTGGTTATTTTCATAACCTCCGTGTTGTCTATGTTCACCTGGAGTTGCATATCTAACGATCAAACTTTTAGCATTATGATCCACTTGAGACGCAAGGATGAATGTATATATATATATATATATATATATATATATATATATGGGGATAGGAAGCGGTGAGTTGGTTGTCAATGCGAGGGTAACATGGAGAAGGTCATGCGAAGAGGAGACGAAAGCATGTGGGCAGACGGAGAGCCAGGTGAAAACGTTGGGTGAAGCCTTATGTTCCTCTAGGAGCCAAAGGAAACAATAATATATATATATATTCATTGCTTCGCGTTCCAAGTGGATCACAAGGCTTCAAGCTTTTAGGCTTGCAGTATCATTATCGGTGCTTTTTTATACAGGGTGAAGTTGTTAGCTTCATGTCCAACCTTCTATCTTTTCTGGAATTACCATCATCTAGTAAACTAGGCGAAGCTCAGTACTACATTGGCCAGGGATTGAATACCGGACCTACTTGTGTGGTTGGCGGACATTCTATCACTGAATCCTTGACTCACTTTGAGTTATTATAATACAGTGTAATGTAATTACGTAATAATTCAATAAAGTATCAGTGTAATGCTTGAATTTATATCTTTTACAGGTGAATCACTACATCTATCGTTACTTAGAGGAACAAGTAGTCAGATATCGTGAAAGTGAACCAGAAAATGAAAGTACCAAGTTAATGGACTTTATACAAAAGAAAGTAAGTCATAATAATTATAATAATAATAATAATCGATTTTTAGATTTCATAGTTTGGCGACAGATTAAGTGTGTTCCATATCTAGTTTAAGAAATTTTAAAATACACCAATTTTAATGGCTTTTAGTGCATGATAGGGACATATTTTGCATAAATCAAAGAATCATCTGGTATGATGCAGCTTCGAAAGAAAAACAACTGTTGGGGGTTAGACCGAGGCATGATACGTCTTCGTCAGTTGTTTTGCCGTTGTTCTTTACCATTTGTAGAACTTTTAAGTCCCATGTAAGAAATAATTGATCACAATGGTGATCATGTGCATTTGTATCATATCTCTGACTGAATACTAAAATGTTATCGTCATACATTTTTACTCTTCATATGAGCCTTTTTATTTAGAGTTTTAATTTTTCTTACTACTATTATCATAATTATTATTACTGCCTTGGATTCTGAGTGGGACACAGTGCTTCATCCTGTTCCCCGCAGTCATTTTAATTCGTTCCACGTTTTCTCACTAGCCTCCATTTCCTCTTCATACGATTTCCTGCATGTCACCCTCGGACCTACGTTCAGCTGGTCATTTCCCATACGGGTTCCACTCGTAGGCCGCCTGGCTAACGGTCTCCACCGCATGAGTCCGGTCCGTTTCCATTTCTTTTTGTGTAAATTTGGTTGGCATTAAGTTTTTGTTTGGTTCACTGGATGCCAGAGTAACTTGTTGCTTATATCCTTTCTGTGCATCTAATCATCAGTGCGGATTGAAGCGGGCTATTGATGAAAGTTTACAGCCTATTGGAAATGTGCTTTTCATGATGCGCAGTGCAAATCTCTGTAGCATATAGAAGAAATGACTTGACATTAATGTTGAAAGTCCTTATCTTGTTCTTCGTGATGAGTGCAGCCGATTTTCATACTGATTTCAGGTTGAAGAAGGTGTGTTTTACTTTCCTGATTTTGACTGGCTTTGACATCCCCATCTGTGCTGCCACTTGTAAATGGAATGATGCTGCTTAGATAACTAAAAGAAGAGATCCCCTTCGGATTTCTACCATATTTGTGCTTGTTGCTGTTGTTGTTGGCGGTCGGGTATCTTCATCACCTCAGTCTTCTCTATGTTTGCTTGAAGTTCCCTCTTGACTAACTCCTCAGCTAACATGCTGGTTTTAACCTGTAGATCTTCCAGTTGGATATAAATTATCCACGAAGTCCAGATATTTTAGAGTCTTCTTGCGCGTCCAACGTATTCCTGTCCTCTCGCAACCGACAATCTGTTGCATGATCCAGTTCACCGTCATCAAGAATTTCATCGGTGATAGTAGTGTGGGGAGAGCTGTCTGCAAGCCAAAATTGTAGACAACAATTTACATCAATATTCACGTCCCGAATAGAGGTCATGAGAAAAAAACAATAACAAAGCCTAACCTTGAGAAAATCACCAGCCAATCACAGCGGAGTTAAAGTGTGGAAATATGATTCGCTGATATATGGCTTGATTTTCTAAGAAACGGCCACAATGAGATAACAGAATAACCTTGAGCAAGAAGGCAACCAATCAGAAGAGGATGCTTCTCCACTAACAATAACGTTAATAATAATAATGCACATAAAAATCTATAAATACCTGTTGATTTTCTCAATAAACGATCTGTTGGCTGGCCCTTGTCTTCTATCGTTACAGTAGGCAACTTCGTCTTACTTTTCTTACAATAACTACTTCGTTTAATCTGATTTTTTCCCTGAAATGTCTGATTGGTAATGTAGACCAATGTGTGATTGTGTCAGACCTTCAACAGTGTATGTTTATGAAATAATAGAGAAGATTTGTAGCTCAGGTGGATGATTTGCAATTAAAAGTGTTCTCTGAGCTGGTTGGTTTGGTTGCGAAGCTTTCGTCGTCCAATTACATCAAGCATGAAGAAATTTAAATCATTTCACTTTGTGCTAAATATGGCGCTGAAGATGTTGTCTAGAGGGACGACAAAAGCTTCGCAACTAAACCACCCAGCTCAGAGAACACTTTTAATTGCAAGTGTATGTTTATCTGCTTGGTTGAAGTAAGCTACGGAAATGAATTGAAAACTGAGAAATACTTCCCACCATACCAAAAAAAGTAAATATTGTAAAAGAAACGGGACTAGAAGGTATTTTACGTGTGGATGGAAAACATATGGGGGCTGAATGTGGTGTCCATTTTCTAGATTTACTATTACCAAGAGTTAATAATAATAATAACTTGCCTTATTACAAAACAGTACTCTAATGGTACAATGTGGAATTTTCCACATTGGGTATAATATTGCATCTAATTGTGTCGAATAACATTAAGAACAACTATAAAAATAATATTATAGGATTGATATTGGCAGTTCTTATTTGGTATTTGTAGTGACAGTAAAATCATAAACATACAAATAATTGTAAAATAACGATAATGATATTAGTAACTAAGATTGTCAGTAAACTGAGGTAGTGTCACCGTAGATTACAAAGAAGAGATAATAAAAGTGCTTATTATTTTGTTAACTACATTCCCGCTTAACATTGTCTCTATCGCATAGAACACGGAGTGGCCAAATATGGTATCGTTGCGTTCCTATACTTGGTAGTACGAGTATACAATCTTTTGTACTGACTTCTGGTTCTTTTACAAGAGGAGAGTTGAGAATAGTGGGGGTGTTGAGGGTCAGACAATATGGATTTAGACCATTTCTTGCATGAGTTCAGATGTCTATCAACTAATGTAGTAACAAGCTGACTGACACACCCCTTGCCCTACTGACGACCTTTCATACCCTTCTCAGAATGACATATTCCTAAGGGGAAGCATTAAGGTACAATAGGTAAGATACAAGAGTTAACATTGATTTGATGATGTTAGATAGTTGGAGGCAATCGGCCACAGGAAGCCTTAGACCTAGGTTTCGTGCTAGTTGGCACTCACCAGTCAGCAAGGCGCATCTGCAATCTTGAAGGAACTCATGTCCTTTCTGAGATTCGAACCCGCGTCACCCAGTGCTGCAGTCAGAGACGTTACCACTGTTATTGAGGTTCGCGATTGACCTCCTGTAAAATACCCACTACACATCTTATTCACTACAAGACCGATAGTGCTACCTCGACTGAAAGATGAAGTACCTAGACTGGCCACTTCAAATTGTATTTATCAATTCAACTGTGCTTGTGGAGCGAGTTATGTTGGCCGTTGCTCTAGGAACTTGACTGTTCGTGCTCGAGAACATATCCCACTATGGCTAAGTAAAGGTGTAGTTAAAACTATTAACAGCTCGATATTAGACCATCTGGTGCAAACCGGTCACAAAACCAGTGTGGAAGAATCCTTCTTTATCATCTACCGGGTGCCTAAAAAACTAACAAAATCGACGAAGCAACGCATGCTCCAAACAGCAGAGGCTATTGCAATTCGCCTCAAACAACCAGTGCTCTGTGTGCAAAAGAAACAAGTCCAGCCCCTACTATTGCCCTGGCCCTCAGTAGAGACTATAAACTCATGAATTTGTACCATTACCTTTCCTAATTCTTCTGACATTCAGTTTATCTTATGTTGATGCTGTTCAGCTATAATTTATCAATATTATTGATTTGATGTTATTTAAACATTAATGTCGTTCATAAGACTAACTCATTCATTCATTATAATGTATATATAATTGTAGAACCTGATGATGAATTTATCGAAAAGAGTACTCTTTGTTCCCTGTCTATTCTTTTGAATATTTTGTATTAGACTTAGTTTCTATTACTCTCTCATCTATACTACAAGCATCATGTGTACTAACCAGTCATTGTGGATCACGTCTATATCTAAAGGAGAAGTCAATAGTCTGGCATTTTGAGGGATTTAACGTAAGACCACTTAACTTAGACCACTGACTGATGTCCGACAAAAAGCTATTAAGCTTGCACCATTCTGATTGGAACCTAACAGGAAGCGAGACGGTCAGATCGTCAGCTTATTTGACGAAGTTAATCTCATTCGAAAGAGGTATGTCATGTAAGAAAAAAGGAAAAAGAAGAGGAGGGAGAGAGCAGCACCTTCAGGAACACCAGCTTCAGTAAGCAAGGCAGAGGAAGATTCACCCTTATACACAGTATACTGCATTCTATTAGAGAAATAAGAATGCAACCAGTTAACAGCCCAGGACTCAGTTTGTGTAAGGGAAAGCTTATTTAACAAAAGGCATCTAGGTACTGAGTCATAAGCAAATGTGTAGTCAAGGAAGGAACAACGTACACATTTGGCCTCTTTGACTAAGGAAGAGACAATGTTATGATGTAATACAGCGGCAGCATCTAAAGTACTTCTGCCCTGCCTATAATCAAACTGTTTAGAATCATTAAAACTTTTTAAAGAGTATACAAGGTTGAGTAAGAGTGATTTCTCTATTAGTTTCAAAAAAGGAGAATTAATTGTAATAGGTCTAAATATAACATTAATACCAGAACCTGATTCGGGTACATGGATGACCACAGGACAAGTGACATTGAATTGCACTTCAGAATTTCCTAGTTTTCTTAAAGATGACACCTGAAAATTACAAACGACACATTAGTGAACAAAGAATATTCTTTTCGATAACCTCTTCTTCATCAGGTTCTATATTTATATGTCCATAGTAAATTAAAGAATGATTTTAACTGACAGCATCATTGTGTTTTAGATAACATTGAATAAGTAATATCGATTGATTACAGTTCAAAAGCACCTTTAAGGGATAATATGCACCCCAAAATAACACTATACTGATCGAATGTCAGATAAATTAAGAAAAAGTAATACAGAATTTATGAATTCATAGGTTCCACAGCAGGCCAGGGTAGCAACAGTAACTGGACTTGTAACTTTTGTACTCAGACCACCGGTTGTTTTAAGCGAATTACGATAGCCTTTATTATTATTATTATTGTTTCCTTTAATTCCTAGAGGAACATAGGGCTTCAGCCGTGCGTCTCCAATGCGTTCGGTTCTCTGCCAACGTT